TTTAGCAAATAAACATTCGTCCCTCTTTGTGAACCGGGAGAAATCCCGTGATTTGCAGAGAGGGTTAACTGATCCCAATCAGTGGCCCTTAATGATGAACTGTCTTTTATTTATCTGTCATTATTTATTTATCTGCTTTTTGACTTTTTCTCTTTTTCTCTTGCAGATGAATAATTGAATGGAGGGGAGCAAAGGATAGCAGATGAAGAATTGAAGAATAGAAGACTTAGAAAAAATAGGATAGTTTCATTTTTTTATTTAAATTTAAATTAATGTAAAATCATTGTTTGTAAATAAATTGTAAACAATAATTGTACAAATAATTTAAGAATAAATAAAAGTTTTCACTATCCAATTAATTCTATTTCCTCTTTTATTGTTTATTCATTATTTAAAATTCTTTGAATTAAAATAATCGAAAAATAAATTCCAATCACTTAACCTCAGAATAATAAATAATTTAAATAAACAATGCTCTAGCAATTTACTCAGTTAAACCTGGCCTTTCCAATATCCAAAGTAAAGCAACAGTTAACCAAAACAACTGATCAGGCGCATTCCCTTTTCACTGATTTTTACCAAGCACTGTAAATCCAAACTGCATATATCTTTTGACTGGCTCAAACAAACAAATGTGAATTCAAACCAAATGCATTCTTTTTACTGATTAAGTCAAACAATGCGAATCCAACCCAAATATCGAAATAACTCGCAAAGTGCTGTAGAATTTAAATCCTTCTGAGAACGTGCCCAAAAAACCCTAATTCCTGATTAAATTCCAAAGAGCGTTCGCCTGATCAAAATTGAGCCAAAATCAACCAAAACCCTAAGCCAACTGTGTGAAACAATCCAGAGTCCTGAAAAATCAATAAAACCCTAATTTTGCTTGGCTGACGAAAAAAGTCCGTTTGTCCGATTCTTGAGCCAGTTTGAAAAATCAGGAAACGCTTGAAGCTGCGATCTCTTGTGGAAAAATGCGAGGGCAAATTTTGGGGTACAACATGGAGGTTGGGATTTTGTGTTTTGAGGTTTTTTGTCTTGATGCAAATGAGGAAGGGTAAGAGGTGGCACAGGTATAAGTCAAATTATAAAATAGAAATACACTAACAGTTGGGAACCAATGTAACATATTCGGTTCGTCTCAATGTGATAGGGTGTGGCTTCTCATAGTGTTTTTTTTAGTTTCATTTAGAGTGTAACCGGAAATACAACATTGGTTGGGAAACTGTAAGTATAATTTTGATCTGTATATTGTTTTCATATAATTGGGTGTGCATTAGAGATATATTTCCGGTTCCCGAGGGCATATTTGGAATTTCATGTTGGTGCCTAAGAAACACATAGGGTGCATTAATAAATTCTCTAGATTTTATCCGAAAATTTCTCTTTACATTCTTATACGCGCACTTCTTAAAATTCTAAAATACTCTTGAGTTTATTAGGAAAAACATTTCTAAAGCACCGGATCTCATTTTTTACCAAAATTTAATTCGGAGATGTATTTCCAAATTTTTGAGGTTAATTCGGAGATGTATCTCCAAAAATACGGCGCGTCTGCAGATGAAGGACACTTGTTATACAGAATGTAGGGACACAGAGGAATTGAGGGACAACCTAATGTTTTTTATTGAACCTATTCGTATTTCTAGAAAAAACTATGAACAATTTTTTATATATCAAACCATAAGCATATCATTGAGGCACAAACGTAAAATTTTGAAAAGAAACTATGATTTACTTGTTCCTGAAAATCTTTTGTCCACTAGACGCCGTAGAGAATTGAGAATTCTAATTTGTTTGAACCCACAGAATAGAAATACTTTGCATAGAAACACAATAAATGACACTGAGAAAAAACGAAATAATTCTTCTGAAGTTTTGACTCAAAATGAAGATATTGATAGCGATACAAAAAAACTAATGACTTTAAAATTCTTTCTTTGGCCAAATTATCGATTCGAAGATTTAGCTTGTATGAACCGCTATTGGTTTGATACACATAATGGAAGCCGTTTCAGTATATTAAGAATACATATGTATCCTCGATTGAAAATCTAGATTTTTGTTCTATTTATCATTATCATAATATTTCAGATATCTATCTGATATCTGATATGTGAACATATATATATATATATATATATATATATATATATATATATATATATATATATATATATATATATATATATATATATATATATATATATATATATATATATATATATATATATATATATATATATATATATATATATTTATATATAATTGATAATTGCAATAAATAAAATAAACGCGCACACGCATTGTGGGATTGATACGACTTCAATGATGTCTCCATTAGATAGAAATAAATCAATAGAAAAATGAATAAATTAAAATTGTCTTTTTTTATATTTTAAATACAAGACAATAGAATTTTTTATTTTTTGAATACATAAATATAGTATTTATTCTCTATTTGAATTACATTCCTTAATAAGGAATTTGAAAAAAAAAAAATTCAGAATTGTGAAAATTGTTAAATAAATTAAGGTAAAATTTGATATAAAAAATTCAAAATGAGTGTCATTACTATTACTGATCAATAAAAATATCTACCAAAAAGGAGGGGGAAAGAAAATCTTTCATTTTATGATAAAAAATTCATTTATACCTGTTATTTCACAAAAAAAAAAGAAGAAGAAAACCCGGGATCGGTTGAATTTCAAGTATTCAACTTCACTAATAAAATACAAAGACTTACTTCACATTTTAAATTACACCCAAAAGACGATTTATCTCAAGGAGGTTTACGTATAATTCTGGGAAAACGGAAACGACTATTGTCGTATTTGTCAAAGAAAAACAAAATACGTTATCAAAATTTAATAAATCGGTTGGGTATTCGGGATTCACAAATTAGGTAATTTAAAGAATCATTTTCAATTATTCGATTTATTAGATACTGAATTTTGATGAACTTTTTTTTTGAACGATTCATGGAAGAATGAATCGAGGAAAAACCTATGAATATCCCAGCTACAAGAAAAGACCTCATGATAGTAAATATGGGGCCTCAACACCCATCGATGCATGGTATTCTTCGACTTATTGTTACTCTGGATGGTGAAGATGTTATTGATTGTGAATCAATATTGGGTTATTTACACAGAGGTATGGAAAAAATAGCGGAAAACCGAATAATTATACAATATCTGCCTTATGTAACACGTTGGGATTATTTAGCGACTATGTTCACAGAAGCAATAACTGTAAACGGGCCGGAACAATTGGGAAATATTCAAGTACCTAAAAGAGCCAGCTATATACGAGTAATTATGTTGGAGTTAAGTCGTATAGCTTCTCATCTACTATGGTTGGGACCTTTTATGGCAGATATTGGTGCACAAACCCCTTTTTTCTATATTTTTAGAGACCAATCCACATGTGATATGTGAACAATGACAGTTGTGTACCCTAGTCAGTAGCTAGGTATGGATAAGGAGGCATAACATACATATGGTGAGCTACAATAATGGTCAAAGAGCCTAACATAGCTAGGTTAATAGATAATTGAGCATGCCATGACGTTGTTAGGATCTCATATAGACCTTTATGACCCTGGCCTGTAAATGGACCTTTATGGGCTTCTAAAATATCTTTTATACCATGACCAATACCCCAGTTAGTTCGATACATATGACCAGCAATGAGAAAAAGAATTGCAATAGCTAAATGATGATGTGCAATATCAGTCAGCCATAGACCACCAGTTAGTGGGTCTAATCCTCCACGAAAAGTAAGAAAGTCCGCGTATTTTGACCAATTCAAGGTAAAAAATGGGGTTGCTCCCTCAGCAAAACTTGGATAAAGTTGAGCCAAAAGATCTCGATTCAAGATAAATTCATGAGGAAGTGGGATCTCTTTGGGATCTACTCCAGCATTTAGAAATTGGTTAATTGGTAAAGATACATGTACTTGATGCCCCGCCCAAGAAAGAGACCCAAGTCCTAGTAGACCTGCCAAATGGTGATTCAACATGGATTCTACATCTTGAAACCAAGCCAATTTTGGAGCAGCTTTGTGATAATGAAACCAACCAGCAAAAAGCATTAAGGCTACAAAGACCAACGCACCAATTGCAGTACAATAGAGTTGTAATTCACTAGTTATTCCAGATGCTCGCCAAATCTTTAAAAAACCAGAGGTTATTTGTATTCCGCGGAAACCTCCGCCTACATCACCATTCAATATTTCTTGGCCCACTATTGGCCAAACCACCTGGGCACTAGGTCGAATGTGAGTAGGATCATTTAGCCAAGCTTCATAATTGGAAAAACGAGCACCATGGAAATACATGCCACTCAGCCAAAGAAAGATAATGGAGAGTTGGCCGAAATGAGCACTAAATACTTTTTGGGAAATTTCCTCTAAATCACTAGTATGGCTATCGAAATCATGAGCATCAGCATGTAGGTTCCAGATCCAAGTAGTAGTATCAGGTCCCTTAGCTATTGTTCTTGAGAAATGACCAGGTTTTGCCCATTGCTCGAAAGAAGTTTTTATGGGATCCCTATCTACCAAAATTTTGACATCTGGATCTACCAAAATTTTGACTTTTGGTTCCGGCGAACGAATAATCATTGAGTCCTCCTCTTTCCGGACAACACATACAAAGAGACCCACCAACAGAAAACATAATTAATGAACTTATGAGAGATGTTTATATTGAATATCTTTCTCTTCTATCTCCCATATATCTATTCTATATTTTCTTTAGTTATTCACTAGAACAATTATGATCCGGAAGTTAATCCAGGGCAAGTGTTCGGATCTATTATGACATAGCAGTGAGGTGCTCAACGGACCCTTTTATTTGACTGATGGGGGCAATAAACTATAAAAAATTCAATATATATAATGGATTCTCTCTATATTTTATTCTCTATTAAAGAATAAAATATAGAGAATAATATTAGAATTCGAATAAAAAAAATAAAATAATAAAAAGACTGTTCTTATTCAAAACGCCCTGTGATCTTCAACCAATTCTGTGCCTCAATATAATTACCAGGGGTAAGGGCTATAGCTTGTTTCCAATATTCAGCAGCTTGATCAAACCAAGATTCTGAAATTTCAGAATCTCCCTGTCGAATGGCCTGTTCTCCGCGGTCGGAATAGGTGAGTAAAATCCTTCCCTTAGAACCGTACTTGAGAGTTTCCTGACTCATACGGCTCAACAGTCAATTCTTTTGATCTTCTATTTTTTCTGGAGTTAATAACAAGAAAAGAGGTTAATTACATGAGTTTTAAACTTGAATTTGGATTAATAATTCAATTTAACCCTTTGTTTTTAGTTTTATCTTTTTTCCTACCTTCTGAAGAATAAAGCATCGACATTCACACTAACGTTCTTATTCGAATTTTCTGAAAGGTAACTATCTCGATTTCATATATCATTTCATATATTTCATATATGATATATATATTTCTATAGAATCCTTGAGAAAGACTTTTCTTCATAAGAAAAGAGTTACTCTCTTTGGGATCTGATACTACACCGCTGCTCAAAACCTTAGGGGTACACCCGTCACAGGGTTTAACAAGAAATCGATATTTCACGATCAAGAATGTAGTACTTTTTGTAGTAGCAATCCTTCTATATCGTATTAACAATCGAAGGATGATCGAAAAAAAAATATTTATTTGACAGGGCTTCTTCCTATACAAATAAATTCCATTGGATCCGGCAATGATAGATTGGAAGACTCAAAAGATTCGTTCAATATCAATAGGTTGATTGTTCCGCTCCTGATAACCCTCACTTACCGGTATCTGAGCAATTCTTCCTGTTGCTTTTACGGAACTTCCCTCTTGTATCATCAAACCATCACCCATTAATACAACACCAACATTTTTTGATTCCAAATTCAAAGCAATGCCTACTATACTTTCTTCAAATTCTACTAATTCACCCGCCATTACTTCATGCGGAAACGTTCTGATGTGATTAATTTTTCATAAGGATATTGAATAGTTACAGGTAAACGATTTGCGTGAGATAAGATAATCATGAAACTTTGACCAATGTACCTTGCAGCTCGGACTGTTTGTTGACCATAATTCATGAACCCAGTTACCATAAGGAACATATCGTAAATATCTATGAATAGTTTTGTTTTATTTCTTTCTCTTATTTGAGACAAGTAATGAATATAGAAGATCCATCTTTTACAGCGAAAACAATTGAGACGAAGTTGTTAATAATAGATTACCGAGAGAAATAGGTAAAAGAAATTTCCATCCAAGATTTAATAATTGATCCATTCTTAGCCTAGGCAAAGACCATCTTGTTATGATAGAAACAAATAAGAAAAAATAGCTTTTAGCTAATGTAATAAAGAGATCAATTGTAGTTCCAAAAACTCCGTATGTTTTATTTATTTCAAAAAATTCAGAAACAAATATGTACAGAATAGAGATATTTGAACCGCCCAAGTAAAGAACTGTTACAAATAATGAAGAAATTAAAAGGTTTAAATAGGAAGCAACGTAAAATAAACCAAATCTAATACCTGAGTATTCTGTTTGATAACCAGCTACTAATTCTTCTTCTGCTTCTGGTAAATCAAAAAGTAATCTTTCACATTCTGCTAGCGAAGAAATTAGAAAAACGATGAAACCCATAGGTTGACGCCACAAATTCCAACCCCAAAAACCATATTTTGCTTGCGCATCAACTATATCAACTGTACTTAAACTGTTAGATAATCCTAGTCGGTGATAACATTACTGTTCCCATCTCTATTACAGAACCGTACATGAAATTTTCACCTCATACGGCTCCTGGAAAGCCTTAAGTAAATCTAAGGACCGGGTCAATTATTTCTCTCTTGCTATATCCCTAAGATATAGAAGATGAAAATAGATCGAACGGTTCTGAATTAGACCAATTCAATTCTGTCTGTTCTAGAAATAACGAAATAAGAAAGAGAAATATAGTTTAATAAAAGATCCAATGTAAGGCACTTCTGAATTGATCTCATCCCTCAAAAATAAAAATTTGTTGAGTAATAACTGAATTCTTCAATAAAATACTCTTTTATAATTCTCAATAGCCCTCATGATTTTGAATTACGAAAAAGAATTAAACATTCGTTTCTTAATTATGATTTGATCTCCATGAATATGGATATGGATATAAGAAATCAAAAACGAAAAATAGATTTCTCTTTCGTTTTTGATTTCTTATGTTTTTTTTTCCGTTCCTATTCTTCTTTTTTGTGCTATGAAAAAGGGACTTAAAAAATTTAAAAGGATTTTTTCGTTCCTGATAGTAATTTATTTAATGAGTGGATGGAAGCATACTCTGGATCGGAGTTGTGGGGAGTACTGCTTTATTTTTTCTACCAACTTAAAGCCCCAATTAGTATTCTTTTTATATTCTGCGTAAATTGTCTTTTGGATAATTTACAAAATCTGTGTTACTAATCCTTTGTGTATCTTGGTGTTTCTAACCATCCACTCTTTTTTATTAATCCCCCTTATTTATTTTAATATATCTATGAGAATTCATAAAAATGGTAACTAAAACTCAATAAGGTTGGTCTTTAGAGCCCGCTTCAAAACAGGATGACAAATTATCCAATCTTGGGTTAAATGGCCTCTTCTGTTTATAATTTTATTTCATTCTTATACATAGAAAATGAGACTCAATATTTTTACTGCCATTAAAAATCATCATACTATCTATTAACTAGAAGTAAGAAAGTATTATGAAATTCTATTCAATATAAGCTGTTTTATTTCACTCATATAACTATCTAATTTAGTTCTTCAATCGGAGAAAAATAAAGATAATGAAGGTTTCTATTCAATTGATTCGCCTCCTTTCCTATATAGTACTATAAAGAGAGGAGCATAGCAATAGCATCGAATAACTTTTTTGGTTTCAACGAATCGCACGTAAAGATATTGATAAGACACATAGAGTTAATGGTATTTCATAACTAATCGATTGAGCAGCAGCTCGTAGACCACCCAAAAAGGAATATTTATTATTTGAGCCATATCCTGACATAAGAAGTCCAATGGGAGCAATACTCGAAATAGCAATCCATAAAAAAACACCTATCTTGAAATCAGATAAAACAAAGTTATAGCCAAAGGGAATTACTGAATAACTTATTAGAATTGATATTATTGATATGGATGGTCCAATACTGAATAAACGAATATCTCCCCTAGATGGAATAAGATTCTCTTTGAATAGTAGTTTTGTTCCGTCTGCTAGAGCTTGAAGAATTCCAAAAGGACCAGCGTATTCAGGTCCAATAATCGGTCCGGATATATAAGCAGTGATTTCAAATCTATTTCTTTCTACTATATTATCTATTACAGTAAAACATTCTAGTTCTACTGTAATAGATAATATAGTAGAAAGAAATATATTTGATTTCTTTCTACTATACTAGGATTTAATAGAATTCTGCTGGTTGTAGTCTGATCATTTTCTTAAAAAACAAAAGACCCGAAATAGAAATTATTTTTTCATTTTTTTCTTCAATCATTGCATTGATAAGAAATAAGAAGTCATGTTTCAGTAAAATTTAGTCACTTTGACTTAGCGTTTTTACATAAATTATAAGTAAAAAGGCAGTAGGAACTAAAATGAAGAGTGCAGTAGCTATAAATGCGAGAATATTTACTTCCATAATCTCTATGTTTTATTTCTCTTTAATTTCTAATAAATACTTCGGGATTTAATCCCATAGAAATGAAAAATCTTTCGTCACTAAATTCAATGGGATAAATTGGATCTCGATGATATCAAATCGGATCAATATCACGAATAACAATATCTGAGCTATCAAATCAATAATTCATGGTCGAGAATTTCATAGTATAACATCGGAAGATGTTTTATCCATACCAAACCAAATAAGAAAATGACTTGCTGATGCAATCAAAAAGTCCTTTTTCTTTCTTTGTCCGAACCTTTCCCTTAAACTAAAAAAGAAATAAAAAGGGGGATACCTGTTTGAAATGATATTTTTTTAGTTTTATTCCCTTATCATACACGAAATCAATTGATATTTTTTGGATTTGTATCCATCGGGACTGACGGGACTCGAACCCGCAGCTTCCGCCTTGACAGGGCGGTGCTCTGACCAATTGAACTACAATCCCAGGGAAAAAGTCGTCTAGTATACACACATATTCTTACAATTTCATTCTAACTCTTTGTTTTTCTATTTGAGATTCGAGAACGCCTCTTTTAAAGGCGGACTTCTATATATATATATTCATATTTTTATGGGTCTGCGCTTTAGCGACACGGATGACTCGCAATCCGTTCCTTATTGCCAACTTGATTAAAAAATCAATCAAGGAAACAAAAAAGACTATTTTTTTCTTTTTTGACTTGAACCCTTTCCTTCGACTTTATACTTACAGATCCCAATAGGTGTTTTGCAAAATCCGAATTTGTGGAAAAAATATGTAAGTAATCTGGAAAAAAGACATAGGACTCAAGATTATAATCTTATGTATGCGAACCCATTGGTTATTTTTAGAGAACACCAAATGGGTTATATCATTTCATGGTGGATCCAGAAATATTTTTGGGCCGAGCTGGATTTGAACCAGCGTAGACATATTGCCAACGAATTTACAGTCCGTCCCCATTAACCGCTCGGGCATCGACCCAAGAAGAATTCATTTTAGTCTTTCTTGATAATCCCTCATCCATTTCCTTTCGTAGTACCCTACCCCCAGGGGAAGTCGAATCCCCGTTGCCTCCTTGAAAGAGATATGTCCTAAACCGCTAGACGATGGGGGCCTCCTTGCCCGATTTCCATTCTACTATGTTCATAGTATGAACAGTTTTTTGAAATTGTCAATATAATGGAATGATATGATTCGATCAAAAGGATCTTCCCATCTTTCAGAATTCCTTACAATTTTTTGATTCATCCTTTTGATTTCTAAATTGTTCATTCCAATCACCAATCTATAGAATTCAACAAAATAGAAAATAAAACGAAGTAATGCGAAAGAAACCAAAATAAACATAGAAGACTTTGTGGAAAGAATTGATTTGCTGGAACAGGGGGCATTAACACCTTATTTCTTTCACTTTCATTCAGTGTTAAGAAGATGAAATTGGGTATATTTGTATTTCACACTAAGTTGGGAAATACAAAAATGCGAATGAATCCGGAAATTGAGTAAAAAAGGATGAAGATCAATAAGAATTGAGTTGAGGGACAGGATAGAATCCATTTATCAAAGATTCAGAAATATTGGAATTAGGGGTCCATGTATCAATGAAATGAATTTCGTGTTATGATGAAGATGACTTCAATTCAAATCGGTTTTGAAAAATTTCATTCCTATTTATCAAATCCAATATGAATTAATTCTTTTTTCACTATTAAATCCAATTTTTTGTTCGTTAATGAGTTGCTATGTACAAAAAATAGATCTATGTACATACATCTAAATGTACATATATCTAAATGTACATATATCTAAATCAGATTTAGATATATATATATCTATTTCGTCAGATTGATATACCAATTTTGTATATATCTATTTTGTATATCTATCTATAATAATAGATATAGAATAAGTATATGCAGTAACAAATAGATGTACTAAACTCATCTTCATATTGGCTGATTCCGTATTGGGGAATTTACTCAAACGCCGCCCTTTTAACTCAGTGGTAGAGTAACGCCATGGTAAGGCGTAAGTCATCGGTTCAAATCCGATAAGGGGCTTTTTGTATCAAAAAATGATATCAGTAGTATTCCTATTTGAAGGAAGATATAGAAATATTCTTGATATTTGTAAGAAGTTTCTGTTTGTAATAAAAAAAACTAATTAATAGTTGAATTTCATTAAAAAATCGAATTTCAACTCTATTAAGTTCTTGTTATCATTCGAATAGAGTAAACTCATTCGAGTTAGAAAGTAAAATAGTATTCTTTTCTATATATATATATATATATATATATATATATATATATATATATATATATATATATATATATTTTAGAATATGATATTTTCTTGAATCAAAAAAGGAAAAGATTCTAAAAAAAAGTAAGTGGACCTAAGCTATTGAATCATAACTATATCCACTATTCTGATATTCAAATTGGATAGAAATGAAATTTGAACGGTGGATCTTTTTTTCTTTTTAATACCTTTTTGGTTCTAACTCTGCAAGAATATGTCGATATTTCGGATAAAATCTTATTGTTCGTAGGAATGAATTGCTACTCCTCTCCTCCAGTGGAAGGGCTTATTCTATTCTAAGGTCCAACATACAAGTCATTTGACTTAAAAATCTATTTTTTCCGAATACAAGAAAAGATCAAATTTGATTTCTATTATTTCGTGAAGATATGTCTATCAAAATAATAGAAAAATCCATAAAATCATGACTTTGAGTATCAAACATTTGGTTTTGATATCTATGCATACGAGATTTTTAAGGCAATTAATGGACGAAACTTTCACTTAGAATCTATTATTATTAAATTCCATAGAATATTCAAAGAATATGACAGATAGATAAAAAAAGAAATAGAGAAAAAGATTCAAAAAAAGAAAGAAATGTAAAATAGAAAGTCAAATATAGGATCCTCTAGTAGTTTTTTAGACATACAAATTCGAAGAATATAGAAAACTCTTTTTTTTATTTCACGAACAAGATTCAAGAAGAATCTTATTTGATAAAAGCAGAGTAGTATGTCTGGGGATCTGCTGGTAACAAGAGTAATAAAAGCGATCGATCATTTGTTTATGGAATAGTTCTTTAAAAATTTTATTTCTATGATTTATGAGTCATAAGACAATTTGCGAGTCATGACTTAGGGAATTTTTTTAGAATATAAAGAAAGAAGCCAATTGATTTGACCTAGATTAGATATCCATCGACAAAAAAATAATTTTTCTATTCGAAACCCAGTAGAAAAGAGGGGACAGTCTACGAGAAATCATATCATATATAAAATGAAAAAAGCCTCGAAGGTTGCATCCCTGAAAATACTAGTAGGTGTTCGGAAATGGTTTGAAGTAGTTGAATAGGAGGATCACTATGACTATAGTTCTTGGTAAATTTACCAAAGATCAAAATGATTTATTTGATATTATGGATGACTGGTTACGGAGGGACCGTTTTGTTTTTGTGGGTTGGTCCGGTCTATTGCTCTTTCCTTGCGCCTATTTTGCCGTGGGGGGTTGGTTCACAGGTACCACCTTTGTAACTTCATGGTATACTCATGGATTGGCAAGTTCCTATTTGGAAGGTTGTAACTTCTTAACTGCAGCAGTCTCTACTCCTGCTAATAGTTTAGCACACTCTTTGTTGTTACTGTGGGGTCCTGAAGCACATGGAGATTTTACCCGTTGGTGTCAATTAGGTGGTCTGTGGACTTTTGTTGCTCTTCACGGTGCATCGTTAAGTGAGAAATGGGAAATTCAGGGAAAGTTGGAAGTACTACCGCGTAATAGTGCACCTACACGTCTTCATCGATGTTGTTTTGCGACCGGAAGACCACGAGGTAATTATCGACACTTTGGATTATCTGGACACGTACTTCGTGAAATGGTTCACGAATGTTTGTTGCCCGGTGCAACAAGATCGAGTTGGTAAGAATAAAAAATTATCTTCATTTTTTTTATTCATTTTGATGATCCGCGATCATAGGACGGTCCCTTTACCATTCTGTATCAATGGTTTATTCTATTTGTACAGATATGGTGGAGGGGTACATTCAATCTCTGTTTTCCATTCATTGTCACTTGTTCTTCTTATGGCGGAGTAGAGCAACTTGGTAGCTCGCAAGGCTCATAACCTTGAGGTCACGGGTTCAAATCCTGTCTCCGCAACATTTTTGATAAAAATTGGAATTCACTATTTTCTATTTTTGAAATAGATAGATAAATGTACTATTCAATACATAAGCAACGGCGGATAGCGGGAATTGAACCCGCGTCTTCTCCTTGGCAAAGAGAAATTATACCATTAAACTATATCCGCGTTTTTCTTTTTATTGTACTTTATACTTTCTATATTGTACTTTTTACTTGATATATCAATTCGATTTGTGCAGAGCGGTGTTTGATATCTATTAGGAGTGATCAAGAAAAGTCGAAATCCATATATATTTTATAGATAATAGATTATGGAATATCTATATCTTTCTATTCGAAATATACGATTTTCTATTAATATTCGTTTCTATTAAGGATTCTTAATATTCTATTCTTATTTTTTTCTAGAATAGAATTCAAATTAGTATATTCTATATTAAAAAAATAATATGAATATTTTCGTTTTACTATATATCATATTCAGGATAAGATATAAGCTTTTTCCAATAGAAGAAGTTTGACCCCTCCCATTAATAATAAAAATGTTTTAGTTTTCTTTCTGTGTGGGGTCTTATATATTCCATTTTAATGTGCCTCACAACCCGAAAGAATTCGGGGGGAGGGGTCATTTCGTTTTTTGATCTAGAATGAATAGTTTCAAGAGATGAGAGAATTAAGAATACCCACTAGAAATGCTAATCCAATCCATAATGATGTACCGGAAAATACAACATTTTTGTTACTTGACCAACCATCAGGAGAAGCAAATACAACAGGTACACTAATTAATAAAATGGATGAAGTAACAATTAATGCAAAAACAGCTAATTGAAAAGTAATAGTCATGTTTATAATCTTCTAATTGACCAACAAAAGAACTATACCATTTGATCCCCCAACCCCTTTTTTTTGACCCCTTTCAAAAAAGAAATAAAAAACACATTATCATTATGGAGGGTTTTTTCATGAATCCATTGATTTTAGATAACACCCCTTATTGAGGCATGGATCGAGGGGTAGTTTTTTTTATTTCACAAAAGAGCATGCTGGATCATGTATATATAATATATACGGATAGAGAACTAGACCAATAGATTCACACTAGATATCTTTCTCATAGATAGATAACAGGGTATGAATTCGTATGGTCATGTTCTCTTGAGTGAAATAAAGATAAAATAGAAATTAGCTTTTGGAGAGATGGCTGAGTGGTTGATAGCTCCGGTCTTGAAAACCGGTATAGTTTGAAACAAATAACTATCGAGGGTTCGAATCCCCCTCTCTCCTTTTTCTTGGCGAATGGATTTTTTTATTTTATTGATTCTTGATTTAGGTTGGCTCGGTTTTTTGGGCTCGGCTATATCACCACTTAGCCGAGCCCAAAAATTGATCATTTCTAAATAAAGAAAGAATTTCTTTATTTATTCTATTTAAATAATTTCTGATCTGTAGTAGACCTCTTAGCTTAGTAGTATTTGAATCGAGACTTGGATCTGTATCAATGGAATCTCATCATCCATACATAACAAATTTGTGTGGTATATTCAAATTTTAATAAATGAACAGTAAAAAAACTAGTATTTTTAGTGAGACTAGAACTCATCGGGAAGAAAGAATAAAATAGATTTATGAATGGAATAAAATCTGCAGTATTTACAGACACTAAATTTTCGTTATTTCGAAAAAATCAATATACTTTTCATGTCAAATCAGGATTAACTAGGACAGAAAGAAAACATTGGGTCGAACTCTTCTTTGGTGTCAAGGTAAGAACTATGAATCAACTCGCAATACCAATAAAGGGTAGAAGAATACGACCTATTATGGGACATACAAGGCATTACAAACGTATGATCATTACGCTTCAACCGGGTTATTCTATTCCACCTCTTAGAAAGAAAATAACTTAAATAAAAATACACTTCATAACATGGCGATACATTTATCCAAAACTTCTAGCCCAAACACACGCAATGGAGCCGTAAACAGTCAAGTGAAATCCAATTCACGAAATCGTTTGATTTCTGGACAGCATCATTGTGGTAAAGGGCGTAATGCCAGAGGAATCATTACCGCAGGGCATAGAGGGGGAGGTCATAAGCGTCTATACCGTAAAATTGATTTTCGACGCAATGAAAAAGACATATATGGTAGAATTGTAACTATCGAATACGACCCTAATCGAAATGCACACATTTGTCTCATACACTATGGGGATGGTGAGAAAAGATATATTTTACACCCCAGAGGGCTATAATTGGAGATACCATTATTTATGGTACAAAAGTTCCTATAAAAATGGGAAATGCCCTACCTTTGAGTGCGGTTTGAACTATAGATTTACGTAATTGGAAGTAACCAATTACGTTTAAGGCGAAACCTAGAAATCGATCACTGATCCTATTTGAGTACCTCTACAGGATAGACTTCAACAGAAAACTGAAGAGTAACAGCAGCAAGTGATTGAGTTCAGTAGTTCCTAATATAAAATTATTGACCCTAGAGATATAGTAATATGGAGAAGACAAAATTGTTTCAAGCACCGACAGAACACGAAGTGCTCCTCGTTTCAAAAAACAAAGGGGGGAAGACACAAATTATTCACATTTTATTTGATGGTCAAAGGCAAATTGAAAGCTAAGCAGTGGTAATTCTAAGGATTCCCCCGGGAAAAAATAGAAATGTCTCCTACGTTACCCGTACTATGTCTAAGTAGCAACGTAATTTCATAGAGTCATTCGGTCTGAATGCTACATGAAGAACATAAGCCAGATGAAGGAACAGAAAGACCTAGGATGTAGAAGATCATAACATGAGTCATTCAGAATATTTGGATTCGTATATTATATATCCACTCATGTGGTATGGTACTTCGTTATGTCATATATAATATACGAAATAAACGATATATAAGATGTATCTGTATAGATATTCTAATCTACATCCAGAAAGCCGTATGCTTTGGAAGAAGCTTGTACAGTTTGGGAAGGGGTTTTGATTGATCAAAAAGACGAATCTACTTCAACCGATATGCCCTTAGGCACGACCATACATAACATAGAAATAACACTTGGAAAGGGTGGACAATTAGCTAGAGCAGCGGGTGCTGTAGCAAAACTGATTGCAAAAGAGGGTAAATCAGCAACATTAAAATTACCTTCTGGAGAGGTCCGTTTGATATCAAAAAACTGCTCAGCAACAGTCGGACAAGTGGGGAATGTTGGGGTAAACCAGAAAAGTTTGGGCAGAGCCGGGGCTAAACGTTGGTGAGGCAAGCGTCCTGTAGTAAGAGGGGTAGTTATGAACCCTGTAGACCATCCACATGGGGGTGGTGAAGGGAGGGCCCCGATTGGTAGAAAAAAACCCTCAACTCCTTGGGGGTATCCTGCACTTGGAAGAAGAACTAGAAAAAGGAAGAAATATAGTGATAATTTGATTCTTCGTCGCCGTAGTCAATAGTGGATAGTAGAGAAAATAGAATTTGTTTCTTCGTCTTTACAAAAGAAAAGAGCGATTGACTATGACATTCTATGATTTTCTTTTTTGAGAGATTCTATATTTTAAAAAGAGATTCTATATTTTAAAATTGGAAATAAAATAAAAAATATAAGAGAAAAAATTCATTTTTTTAGAAATTTTAAGAGGAATAATTAACTATGACACGTTCACTAAAAAAAAATCCTTTTGTAGCGAATCATTTATTAAGAAAAATAAATAAGCTTAACACAAAAGGAGAAAAGGAAATAATAATAACTTGGTCCAGAATATCTACCATTCTACCTACAATGATTGGGCATACCATTGCTATCCATAATGGAAAAGAGCATTTACCTATTTATATAACAGATCGTATGGTAGGCCATAAATTGGGAGAATTTTCACCTACTCGAAACTTCCGAGGCTTTGCGAAAAATGATAATAGATCTCGTCGTTAACATTCATTTTAACATAAATTTAGTAATAGTCATTAATAAATATTAATTAATAAATTACTCAAAAAGAATTGTATTATTCTGCAATCAAAAAAACAGATTTTATTTTTTCGTGAAAATAGAACCAATACAGAGAAATATAACCCTTTGTTCAAAAAATATTTTTGTCTATTCACAACACAAAGCGTGAATGGTAATTAATAATATTCAAAAATTGAAAGGGTTATTATAATAGAACTAATGCTTTGCAGAAAAAAAAAAGATATATCAAGATATTAAAAATATATATATATATATATATATATATATATATATATATATATATAGATAAAAAAGTAGACAAATCAGACGTATTATTTTATATAGAGTAGTGAGGGATTATGGGACAAAAAATACATCCGCTTGGTTTCAGACTTGGTACAACTCAAAGTCATGATTCTATTTGGTTTGCACAACCAAGAATTTATTCTGAGAATGTAAAAGAAGATAAAATAATACGAGATTGTATCAAGAATTATATACAAAAAATACAAAAAACAACAACCGCTGTCGATGGCGAGGGAATTGGACGAATAAAGATTAAAAAAACACACGATCTGATTCACGTGATAATCAATATGGGACTTCCAAACCCAAACTTAGTAATAGAGGATAACCCTGAAAGAATGGAAGAATTACATACTAATGTGCAAAAATAAATAAATTGTATGAACCGACAAATCAACATTGAAATTACAAGAATTCCAAATGTTTATAGAGACCCGAATATTCTTGCAGAATTTCTAGCCAGACAATTAAAGAATAGAATTCCGTTTCGTAAAGCAATGCAAAAAACTATAAAAAAATTCGCTGAAGAGGCAGGTGCAGGTACAAAAGGAGTTCAAATACAAATTGCGGGACGCATCGACGGAAACGAAATTGCACGTGTCGAATGGATCAGAGAAGGTAGGATTCCTCTACAAACCATTCGAGCTAAAATTGATTATTGTTCCTATCCAGTTCGAACTATTTATGGGGTCTTAGGAATCAAAGTTTGGATATTTATAAACAACGACTAATAACCTTTTCCTTATAACGTTCCATCTTTTGAGAAAACAAAAAATGACGAATTCTTACTACGTTCTTATTCTCAAAGAAGAAATGAAAAATTTTAAAAGATTGAATAAAAAAAAATTAATTAATCATTTTATAATGAAGGAGTTGCTATGCTTAGTGTGTGACTCGTTGGTTTTTTTTTAGAGTGGTTAATTTTCTACAAAAATTCGTCGAATTAATTACTAAAGAATAAATAACCTACTCATCGCTTCCCATTATCTGGATATAAAGAACCGCCGAAAATCTAAAATCAAAATAAGGATCTATGTGATGATATAATTATAGCAACTGAAATAAAAAAAAAATAAGATTATTAGTTGTAAAGCAATAAGAATATACAGATAAATGTAGGGGTGAAAGAAAGATAGAAAAAGGATATCAATGATATAGAATTCTCCTATGTAAAGGTCTATGGGTCATCTCATAAAAAGTAGTGTAATAAAGCATCAATCTTCAAAATTCATCCATATATGGATGAATATATTCCTAGAATAAACGAATCAAGAGCCACGAATCAAGAAAACTGAGAAGGTTGATTCAACAAAAAAGAAGAAAATAAGAAAATAAAAAAAATGGAATCTTCTTAATTAAAGAGGCTCCATTGTAGAATTTAGACCTAACCATAAATTGAAAAGCGATGGGAACGACGGAACCTGTGAATACAAAAGATTATATTAAAATTTGAAATCTTACTGATTCATTAGATGGGATGGCGGAAGGAACTAAGAATTCATTCTTTTTTGAGGAGTTGTGGACTAACCCTACATTACATCTTCAATTTAATCAATTTATAATGAGAGAGTAAATATTTGCCCGCGAAAATGTGGATTTTTTTGGAATTGATAAATTTTTGCCAATCCAATATGATAATAATAAAAAAAGAAAAATACTGATTCGTTAGAACCCTATATCCAAAAATATTAGCTAGTTAGATACGAATAGCAACAATGGTCTATAAGAATACATATTTCGTTATATATCAAAGCAAGATTAAAAAATTTCTAATAGATCAATAGATTCTATTAAATGTAAAAAAATCCCGCGATTATATTCTGTTGTATCTTATTGTAGTAATTATTATTATTTTCTCGATTCAATATTTTTCAATCGATTTATTCGCGAGGAGCCGTATGAGGTGAAAATTTCATGTACGGTTCTGTAATAGAGATGGAATTGAGAAATAACCATCAACTATAACCCAAAAAGACCGAGATTCCGCAAACATCATAGAGGAAGAATGAAAGGAAAAGCCTCTCGTGGTAGTCAAATTTGCTTCGGAAAATATGCTCTTCAGGCACTTGAGCCCGCTTGGATCACATCTAGACAACTAGAAGCGGGTCGACGGGCAATGTCACGAAATGTTCGCCGGGGTGGACAAATATGGGTACACATATTTCCAGACAAACCTGTTACAGTAAGACCTACCGAAACGCGTATGGGTTCGGGAAAAGGATCGCCCGAATATTGGGTAGCTGTTGTTAAACCCGGCAAAATACTTTATGAAATGGGAGGTGTTCCAGAAAATATCGCTAGAAAGGCGATTTCAATAGCGGCATCCAAAATGCCTATACGAACTCAATTTATTCTTTCCGAATAATCATTAGAACGAAAGAGATCTTTAGTATGAAAAAAGGCAATTCTCCGTTTTTTTTTTGAACACAAAATATTTTTTTTACTTCAACTTTTTGACTGAAACTGAAAGATAAGAAAAAAGGATATGATTCAACCTCAAACCTATTTAAATGTAGCCGATAATAGTGGAGCGCGTGAATTGATGTGTATTCGAATCATAGGAGCTAGTAATCGAAGGTATGCTTATATTGGTGACATTGTTGTTGCTGTAATAAAAAAAGCAGTGCCAAATTCATCTTTAAAAAGATCTCAAGTCATCAGAGCTGTAATTGTACGTACTTGTAAAGAACTAAAACGTCGTAATGGTATAATAATAAAGTATGATGATAATGCGGCGGTTCTCATTGATAAAGAAGGAAATCCAAAAGGAACTCGAATTTTTTCCGCAATAGCCCGAGAATTGAGACAGTTAAATTTCACTAAAATAGTTTCATTAGCACCTGAGGTATTATAATAAGAGATCATGATATAGATATATTATTTATGACTTGAATGAGCAGGAAATAGATTAGAATACGAATGAAATATATATTCTATATTCAAGTCAATATATTCAAAATAAAAATTCGAATTCTATTTGTATAAAAAAATAGAATTCGAATTCAATATAAGATTATTTATATAGTTTCGAATAGGTTATTCGTTCATTTTATTTCTATCTTTTTTTAGTTTTAGAATATTCTATATTCGGATATTTAGATTATCCTAACTACAATCAAATTTTCTATACATATAGAGTATTATTCTATTCTCATATTCAATATGAGAGATTTGATTGAATCAAAAAATAAAAAATCAAAAAACGGGAGCACGTTGATTATATCGAAAGTAAGGAGCAAAAATCTATCGTGGGTAAAGATACTATCGCTGATATACTAACCTTGATACGCAATGCTGACATGAATAGAAAAAGAACTGTTAAAATACCACTTACTAATATCACCGAAAACATTGTAAAAATTCTTTTACGAGAGGGTTTTGTTGAAAACGTCAGAAAACATCGAGAAAGCAACAAATACTTTTTAGTTTTAACTATACGGTATAGAAGAAATAGAAAAGGATCCTATAAAACTTTTTTAAATTTAAAAAGGATCAGTACACCTTGTCTACGAATATATTCTAAGTATCAAAAAATTCCGAAAGTTTTAGGAGGGATGGGGATTGTAATTCTTTCTACTTCTAGGGGTATAATGACAGATCGAGAGGCTCGATTAGAAAAAATCGGGGGAGAAGTTTTATGTTATATATGGTAATGCTAATTTTGTCGATATCTGAATTATATGAAAAAAACTTAGAGCCAACAGTATTGTGAATGGAGGGAGTAGAGAAAAAACAGATTTCTAATATTATTCATGATACATTAGTGAATATGGGAAGAGGTTTTAACTAGAATAGAAATGAAAATTAATAAAGATTAAATTAATCAACAACTTCTGAGGGTATGTTGCAGGTTGAGGTTGCTTTAGAGAAATAGAATTCAAATCAGATTCTAGGTTATGTTTCCACTGGATACGACCAAAAAAGGAAGTATAGCTGACTCCATTCGATTAGACTATTTTATAACTTCAACATATTTTTTAGGAGGAACAATTTGAAGTTCAAAATGTAAGGAAACCCTATTTTCTTGCAATCTATAAAATTGGTATTCAATTTAATTTAAGGAGTGAAAAATATGAAAGTGGCGGCCTCTGTTCGTAAAATTTGTGAAAAATGTCGATTGATCCGTAGGCGAGGTCGACTTATAGTAATTTGTTCCAATCCAAAACATAAACAAAGACAAGGATAATATTAAAAGAAAAA